TGGGCTGCCCGTGCGAAGATGTGTTTTTTGCATAGTTCCCCGCAGTTTTTGTCGCTATCGGCATCGGTTTTTTCGGCAAATCCTTCTAGCTAAACAAATTAGGACTGGCCGCCAAAACTGGCAGGAAACACCCTTTAAAATTTCAGCTTTCTGGTTTTTCTGGCTCCTGGGTTAGCAACTCACTGGAAAAAATTTTCAAGGGCCCGCACGCGGGTACCACGCATACCCGATGTCTGGATTTGAGCTCGTTGAGACTTGCTTGGACGGAGAACATCTTAAAACTACAGTCTTTTAGCTTTTCAGGTTCTCGAGTTACGAGCTTACCCGAGGAAAACTTTGATGAACCGTGCGTAGGTACCACGCTTGACCGAGGACTGTTTGAGCTCGTTGAGGCTAATGTGGACGGGGAACATCCTTTTAAAGATTTCAGCCTTCTAGCTTTTCTGGTTCGTGAGTTATCAACTTACCCGAAAAAAATTTGGCGGGCCTGTACGAGGGTACCACGCTTATCCGAGGGCTGGATTTGAGCCCATTAATACCTATTGGACAGTGAACATCCCCATAAAATTTCAGCTTTCTAGCTTTTCTGATTCACGAGTTATCAACGCACCCGAGAAAAATTTTGGCAGGCTCTTACTTGGGTGCCACGCGGATAAGACCGCCCATTTCGGGGACGAGGGCCCGTACGTGCATATAGATTATGTCCCTAAAGTTTCAGCCCAGTAGCTTTTGCCGGTCTCGAGATGAAAAATCGGTACAGGCGGACACACAGACACAAACACACACAGACAACCCCTCGTCAATATGCGTTTTTTGCATTGCATGGCTGCAAAAAACGCATAATAAATTCATTGCATGCATTTCAGAGATGCAAAGATGAGAAAACAAAAGAAAAAAAATTTTTACATAAAAAATGTGTATAGCTGTACGCACACAGAAAGGGGCGTCTAAGGGAACCTCTTCTCATATCCAGATATCATGGCCAGGTCTGAATTGAACACGTGGCGACCTCAATTGCTCCCGCCATGCAGTGGCTATGCGCTTAGTGTAAGTCTACCCAGATACAGCGACCAGGTATCCAACTCTGTAATGGTCGTGCTGAAACAATGCAATATTTTATGGATATGTATATTCGAAAAAAAAAAAAAAAGATCATTGGCAACGCGCACTGGGCGGGCTCGTGCGATCATGCGTTTTTGCAACATTTCATGCTGTAATGAGATCACTCGGAACCCAGTAACTAGAAATGTGCGATATACTGGTCCTCGAAATCCGGGAATTGTGGACGGGGAACAATTCGTTGAAATTTCAGTTTTCCAAATTTTCTGGTTCTTGAGTTAGTAATTTTCCTGCCAAAAATTTTCACGAGGCTGCACGTCACACCACATACGCCCGAGGGCTGAGTTTGATAAATTGAAGTCATACGTGGGCTGGGAACATTCCCTGAAAATTGCAGCTCCCTAGCTTTCCTGGTTCTCGAGTTAGCCACTTCCGCGCCAAAAACTTTTCACGGGATCGCACTTGAGAAGCGCGTATGTTCGGGAGCTGAATTTGATAATTTTAAGCTGAACATGTGTTGGCAGCATTTTCTGAAAATTCCAGCCTCCCAGCTTCCCTGATTCCTGAGTTAGCCATTTTCCCGCCAAAAGTTTTCAAGGGGCCGTACGTGATTACCACTCATACTGAGGGGCTGAAATTGATAATTTTAAATTGTACTTGTACTGGGAACATTCCCTGAAAATTTCAGCTCCTCAGCTTTCCCGGTTCCTGAGTTAGCGATTTTCGCGCCAGGAACCCTCACGGTGCCATACGCGGGAACCATGGCACACCTGGGGGCTGAATTTGAAATCTTTGAGTTATATTTGGACGGGGAACATAACCTCGAAATTTCACCTTTCTGTCTTCTCTCGTTTCCGAGTTATCAATTTTCCCGCCAAAATTTTCACCTCCTCGTACGCGGGGCCTAGACGTGCGTGAGGGATGGTACCGCGTTTCTAGGGTGGTACTTGGCCGGAGTACTAAATAGCAAAATTTCGACGCTGGAATTTGTTTGGTTGCCGAGTTGAAATACCCGGACAGACGAACACACAAACATACACACAACATACATACACACACAGACAGGGTCGTCGCAATATGCGTTTTTGCAATTTGCATATAGGCAAAAACGCATAAAAAGAAGAAAAAAAAAATTAAATGGAAGAAAAAAGATGAAAGATGATCAAGAAATCTTCGCATGCCCAGCTGTCAAAAAGCTATGCGGATCTGAGTGCAGATGTTTCCCGACATTCTGGCTATTATTTTATTTTTCCCGTGATAATTTCTACGGGGCATGCATAATTAACCTTTCCAAATCACAATAATTGGCTAGCGCACGGGCTGTCCGTGCGAAGATGCGTTTTTTGCATAGTTCCCCGCAGTTTTTGTCGCTATCGGCATCGGTTTTTTCGGCAAATCCTTCTA